CACTAAGGGCATTGTGAGCACAGCAAGAGAAAAATTAGTGACTCTGGTCCCACCTAACAGGGGAGAAAATAAAATAACAGCCATGGAAAAAGTGTGTTGGTAAGTTGGACGAACAGCAGCAAGATATGTTGTGGCAGATTTTAGTAAAATTTCAGGACTGTTTTGCATTTGAGGAGGAGGAGTTAGGGCAGACTCACCCTGTACAGCACAACATCGACACTGGGAAGGCAATATGGCAGTGGTCTCCTGGGCCGGCAGAACGCTGCAGACCAAGCCTTGGAAAAGTGCAGTGCACAGGCATCACTGAGCCATCAGAGAGCTCCTGGGCAACAACTGTAGTCATGGTTCCCAAAAAAGGGGTTGGGTGGTACTTTTGTGTGGACTACAGGAAGCTCAATGAGGTCACAAAGACTCATACCCCATTCCTTGCGTGGATGAAGAAGATCCACCTGGTTTTCATCCTTAGACTTAAGAAGTGGGTACTGGCAGGTCCCACTGTCCCCAGTGGCTAAACCCAAAACAGCGTTCTGCACAAGCAGAGGCATTTCAAAGTTCTTGCTTTCAGGCTCTGCAAAGTGCCAGCAATGTTTGACCACTTGATGGAAAGGATGCTAGAAGGGGTCCCACAACAAGAGTGTCTGGTTTTCTTGGATCACATTCTGGTGCATGGAAGTACTAGAAAGAATCAGGGCAGCAGGACTGGAAATGCACCCTGAGAAGTGCAAATTCCTGTGCAAACAACTAATCTTCCTGGGGCAGTGCATAGGAGGGGAAGGAATTGGTACTGCTGAAGACAAGTTACATGCAATACTTGAGTGTCCCACCCCTGTTACAGAGAGACAGCTGAAGAGATTTTTATGGACGGCCTCTTATAACAGGAAGTTTGTGTGTGAGGTTTTCTTGCATCACTGCCCCCTTATATAAGCTGCTCCAGAAAGAGCAAGACTTCAACTGGTCAGAAGACTGTCAGTCAGCTTTTGAGATCTTGAAGCAAGCCCTAACGAGTGCGCCTATCCTGGCACAATTGGACCCCAACCTGATCTTTATCCTGGACACAGATGCTAGTAGTGAGGGGGTAGATGCCATGCTTTTGCAGAAGTGGCCTGATGGAGAGAAAGGGCTGTGGCCTGCTTCAGTATAATAATGAATAAAGCTGTGTCATGCGACAAGAGTTGTTAGTCGCTGTCTTGACTATCAGACACCTTGTGTACTATCTGTGTGGCAGGCCTTTCACCCTACGCTCAGATCATGCCTCCTTGCAGTGGCTGATGACCTTCAGAGAGCCTAAGGGGCAGGTGGCCATTGGCTAGAGCAGCTACAGACCCACAAATTCACTTGTCACTTGTCCCCAAGGGCAGTCCCGAGCCCGGTTGCAGCAGTTCCCAGTGGGCGAGCCCATACATCAGGTTGGAGTTGACATAATAGGCCCGTTTCCTTTGCACTGCTGGGGAAATTGATTTGTGTTGTCTGCCATGGATTATTTCAGAGGCTTATACACTGCCAGACTAAGTGGCCAAGACCTTCATTGATGCCTTGGTTGAGGGGATGTTCAGAAGTTTTGGGGTTCCTCAGTCCATCTATAGCGACCAAAGGCGCAAGTTCAAATTTAGGGCAATCGGCTGGCTATCCCCCTGAGCAACGGGTTGGTGGAAAGGCTTAACTGCACATTGGCAGAGGAGCTAGCTATTCTTACATCCAGCATGACTGGGACAAGCACTTGCCCCTGGTCCTCATGGTGTTGTACTCTGCAGTCCAAGATTCAATCTTGTGTAACCCAGCCCTACTAATGCTGAGGAGGGAAATCAGGACCCCTGTGGAACTAGCTTTTGGTAACCCTCCAGACACCTTACCAGAATCAGCAAGCCCAGAGCGTACCCAGCAGCTCCAAGATCACATAGACACAAACACACATGTGCTAGGAAGCAACTGCTGAGTTCTGGCATGTGACAGAAAAGGAACTATGACCTGTACATTCATGTGTAGCACTTTGCAGTAGGGAAGCCCGTATGAGTCTACAGCCCAAAGAGAAAGAAAGACAGGTGCCCTAAATTGGACAGTCACCGGGTAGGACCATGCTGGGACCTAGAAAGGTTAGAAGAAATTGTGTAAAGAGTGCAGCTCCCACCCCACAGGCTCAATGTGGCTACACCGTGAGAGGTGTCTAAAACGCAAAGAAGAAACTCGAGCTCATTTAAAATGGACTGAGGGGAAGTGGAAAAGTGTCCTGTGGTACGAGGAATCAACATTTGAAATTCTTTTTGGAAATCATGGACGCTATTTTGGCAACATATGTTGCCATCCAGGCGACGTCTTTTTCAGGGAAGGCCTTGCTTATTTCAGCAAGACAATGTCAAACTACTTTCTACATGTATTACAACAGCAATGCTCTGTATTAAAAGAGTCCAGGTGCTAAACTGGCCTGCATGCAGTCCAGACCTGTCACCCACTGATAACATTTGGTGCATTATGAAATGAAAAATATGACAAAGGAGACCCCTGAACTGTTGAGCAGCTGAAATTCATTTACACATTTCATTTTCAAAAATACAGCAATTGGTCTCCTCAGTTCCCAAACACTTACAGAGTGTTGTTAAGAGAAGAGGTGATCAAACACAGTGGTAAACATGCCCCCGTCCCAACTTTTTTGGAATGAGCTGTTGGCATCAAATTCAAAATGGGCATATATTTTTCAAAAAAATAAAGTTTCTCAGTTTCAACATTTGATATGTTGTCTTTGTAGTATTTTCCTTTAAAATATTGTTTATGTGAGTTGCATATCATTGCATTCTATTTTTATTTACATTCTGCACAGCATCCCAACCTTTTTGGAAATGGGGATGTACATTTTTTAGCTTTTTTTCTGACACTGAAAATTGATAACTTGTACTTTTGTACTTAATGGCTGTTTAGACCGGTAATAAAAAAAATCAATGGTAAAAACAGATATAGTCCATACATGCATAAATATATAGTCCATATGGGCACTGAGGAGTTAAGATTGAACACACACACACTCACACAAAATGACATACCTGACATCAACATATTAGCACTTTCCAGGACCCCCCACAGCGAATTGTATAGAAAAAAACCACAACCCTTTGCATGTTTGGCACTAAAGGCTCTAATCTCAGTACACTAAATCATTCTGTATGTGTGTGTGTGCATGCCAATGTCTGAGTGTATGTCTCTGTGTGTTGTCCTAACACAGCCACCCAGCCAATCTGTAAATCACTAGGTAATTGTGCACTTGCTCGCCAGTAATGAGAGAGGAAGGGTAGATATGTGTTTCTTCGCTCTTTCATTCTTTCTTTCTGCAGAAGTGGAGGAGTGGAGTGCTTCCTGCTGCTGCTGCACTGGCTGCATGACAAATTCTATAAAAGCCAGCATCATTCACACCACTATGGGAAATGCAGACACACGTCCAGCAAGTTCACACACATCCAGTGAATGCGCAAACACAGACACATGTATATGGACGTGTACTCCCTAATACACGCAGAAAAACAGCACTTCAAAAAAACAAGTGCACATTCACACATGCACACCTTCACACAAAAATAAGGCCTAATACACTAATGACTGTTGCAGCTGCTTTAGAGTCAAAGCATATTAAAATTTCTCAAAAAAAAAATGTAAAAGCCTGACATGCTTGATGGCAGAACATTAAAAACACAGATGTCTTTAATGAGACTTTCAAAGGTTCCTCACAGTGGCAAACACTTGCACAGTAATGTTCCCTAGTCTACTTTGCAACAAGAAAAAAAGTAAGTTAGAGCAATACTTCAGCATTTTTTTACCTTTGTCTGCTGAATCTGTAATGTACCCTGGATTAACACATACCACGGTTTTACAGCATTTATAAAAGAACAAGATATTGCAGATACTGTTCTTCTGCAAATACCTTCCTTAAAATACAGAAAATGTGAAGAAGCCTCTTTCGGTTATCATGCTTTTAAACTATGGTACTTAATTCTCCGATTTATTAGACAGTAAACCTCAGTGCACACTTTACAGAAACATTTGAAAATGTTATAAATATCACTTTTACTTAGCATTTAAGTACTTTTTTTATATTTATCTGTCTAATTTGATCAGTCCCATTGCCTAATATGATTTTAAATTAATACTCATAGTTTCTTCTATTACTCTTAAGCTTTATCACCTGTCTGTAAGGCACTTTGAGTTACCACCCACATCCTCTATAAATGAAAATATTATTATTAAAGATATGATAGAAAAACAGAATTAGAAATAGAAATAAAAAAGGTGCCAAAAAAGTTTCTTTGTAGGCCTGCACCAACATAGGAACTGTAGGCCAGTGCTTATATCTGACAGTTTTTATGTATATATCTGCCAACGCCGATATTGGTGCCAGTACATAGACTGGGTCAGACTGGGCATAGTTAGGCAGCAAAATGAGAAATTTCCCTTGAAGGACCAATAAAGTATAACATTAACACTATAAAACATACAAATTGAGACTACCTCTACCTAGATTAGCATTATGGAAAAATATAACATTTATTCATTCATATTTTTGAGAGTGTAGAAGCTTTTGGCCAGTAGCTAAATTTTTTTCAGAGGTGATACAAATTTTCCAGACTGCTTACTACTTACCTACTTTACCAGTATTGCTGTTTTCATGCATGGATATCAGAAGAATTTTGTTACTTTTTTGGGTTGGATAAACTTCAGAACAGCTTCAGTAAGACATTCTCTCATATTTGTTGCATCCTGAGATCTGTGTTTTGTCGCAGTGAAATGGTTGTAGTTTTAAACTTGCTTTATATTATGTGTTTTTATTCAACAAAATTCACTAACTGCCCATTGACCTCTAATAAAAGTTTCAACACAATGGACTTTCTGTTCTTTTCTATGTAGAGGGAAATGCATCAACATTATTGTTTGCAGTACTATACAGCAGCAGATAGAGATTAGGTTGAAAAATTCTGGAGTATTCCTTCTGCTGTATAGGTGTGTGTAGTGGTTGTCTTTACCTCTCCAGCTCAGAGATTTTGTTGTCCTTCTCCGTGCGCTCTGATTCCACGTCTCTAAGAATAGACAGAAGCCTGTCCACTTCTGCCTTAGACTTTCCAGACTCCTCTTTATAGAAGGCCATTTCTTTTTCCAGAAGTTTTAAGCGCTCTGAGAGCTCTAGGTTCCTCCGAGCTGCTTCTTCAGCTTCCAGGGCCTTCCAACAGACACACATATGCAGAGAACCATGATGAATCCAAACAACTGTGAATAAAGAGCAATGGGCCTCATTCACCAACTGTTCTTAAAAAGAAATTTCTTCTTAAAGCCCACTTTATTTATTAAGATTCTGACATTCACCAATGTTTTCTTATTTGGGATTTGTTCTTAGGTGAGAACAGAATCTACGCACACTCAAGAGCACAAAGGTGTGAACACTTCTGCGGTTTAAGAACACGTCTTAGGACCTTTCTCAAGAACACATTTAAGAAGAAACACAGGAAGACATTAGTGAATGAGGCCCAACATGACTAAACCTTCAGGTACACTGACCTCTTGTACTGTTATAATTAAACAAGTATGATATGTATCTAATTGTTTTTTAAGTGTTCATAAGCTACTACACTTCAAGTTATGCACACTGATGTGAAACAACAACAGACATCACAGACATCACAACACAAAACCATGAATGACACACAGGGTTTCATTTACAGGCTTTTCTTTTCCAGAAAAAAAGTTTGCACCAACTTAACAGTGAGAAATAACATTTTGCTGTAATATCTGTTTTTTCACTCATCTTGACATTTTGACGGGCAACCCTTTTCATACAAAGTGGGCTCTAGAGGTGTGTGCAAAATTTGTGCTGGAAGAAAAAGCCTTTATAATCTGATCACACACAGGTGAGGCGTATGAACACAAAACACACACATGCACACACACAGGTGGATAATGTGAAAGTTTTCCAAATCCAGAATACAGAATAAACAAGAACTTAATGTTAAAGTTAAATAAACTTCATCGTGATTATGTATTGATATTTCTCTTAGGGCCTAATCCAAACTTGTATGCTTCGCTGTTTTAATGAATTAATGCAAATACACATCTTCATAAGGACAAAGACAATTACATATATGCACACACAGCCTACCGCTGACTTCCCTTGCAGAGGGTTCTACATTGAGAGAGAAAGAGAGAGAAAGAAAGAGAGAGAGAAAAAAATGGGGTAGTTGGAGATAAACAGAGATAAAGAAAAGAAAACAAAAACAATATTGTCTGAATTAAGGACACATGCAGGTAGTAAGCAACCAGGAAGGAGCTAAGTAAATAACAATTTCACTGCTGCAGAACATAAAATTATCACGTGAAAAATATTCATGGCATGAATTAAGCAAAACACTGACTTAAAAACGGGAAAGTCCATTAGAAGAGTTTTTTAGTCTAAATCCAGCTTAGTTGGTGTCTCAAAGCATCCCAAAGAGTTATAGTCATAACAAGAGGCACTGCATATGCATGAACATACAGGAAATAAAAAAGTTCACCAGTGAGCACACCGAACATTTTTTAAACATTCAGTTCAATGTGTAGTAGCAGCAGTCAAGGTCTGACTAATATACCATTTCACCATTAAATCTACTGATATGAAGATCATGCAGATTTATTGGTCTTGGCAAAAAAAAAAACAGCCAACAAAGCACAAAAATGTAAATGAAAAGAAATCAGTCATCAGATCTCTACTGGAGTTGGTTTTATTTACTGATCATACAACATTTCATCAGCCAATTTGATCAGAATTTTATCTCCCAGTCAGCTTGACTTACTACTAGATCAGTTGAACTTCTGTGCTGTTTTATGATTTCCCAGTTCAACTCTTAATTACCAAGTTTGTTTATGGGGTGTTTGAGCAGAGAAATCAAAAACTGTGCTGGACTTCAGTTCTTTAGTACTAGAGTTCAACCTCTTTACTAGATAATTCAATGACCTGGATGACTGAAAGTCATCAGAGCCATTTTAATTAAAGACTATCCAAACAAATTGGGCTTATGGTACGTGTCCAGTTGCAACTTTGCCTTGTCGTATCTTATAAATTTCAATGAAGAGCTCTTCCATATCGCATTGCATGATGGCTTGCTGAACGGCAAAATCTGCCTTGCTGCACAGAGCAAAAGTTCAACAGATTTCAACTTGACTGCTGCATTGCATTTAGCCAGTTGAGCAATGGTAGACTGGTCTTCATCATGAACACCAGACATAACTTTCTTAAAAGTACAGAGCAGAAACTTTGGCACTCTTTATCTTCTTTGAATCCATAACAGTTAACATGATAAAATAAAATAAAATGAAAAAAAAATAAAATGATAAAAATATCTGGTTTTATACAGAACTGCTGATTAAGATATTAATTGTTGACAGTGAATATCTGGAGGGAAGATTCGATTGGATATAGTTTACATAGTTTGAGCAGAAAGGCAAAATTTAAATCGTAGCTTGTAAATTACTTGCTAAAGTAGCTGGCTAGCTTGCTAGTGAGATTGAGTGAGCTAACCTTCTAGCTTGTGTGGATGACAGACACATTCTGAAAATTATAAAAGCATAAAAAGCATAGGTATAAACTATATAGACAAAAGTGTTGGGACACCTACACATTACACCTACAGGAGCTTGTATGACATCCATTCTAAATATGGAGTTGGTCCCCCGCTTTGCAGCTATAACAACATCTACTCTTCTAGGAAACTTTCTACAAAATTTTGGAGTGTGTCTGTGGGATTTTTTGGTTCATTCATCCAGAAGATCATCTGTGAGGTTAGACACTGATGTTGGACGAGAGGTCCTGGCTCGCAATCTCCGTTCTAATTTATCCCAAAGGATAAACTATGATTTTGATGGGGTTAAGGTCAGGGCTCTGTGTGGGCCAGTCAAATTCTTCCACACCAAACTTACCCAACCATGCCTTTACATACCTTGCTTTGTGCACTGGGGTACAGTCATGCTGGAACAGAAAAGGTTATCCCCAAACTGTTCCCACAAAGTTGGAAGCATACAATTGTCCAAAATGTCTTGGTATGCTGAAGCACTAAGATTTCCCTTCACTGAAACTATGAGGTCTAGGCCCACCCCTGAAAAACAACCCCATAGCATTATCACTCCTCGACCAAACTTTACAGTTGGCACAGTGCAGTCATGCAAGTAACGTTCTCCTGGCATTTGCCAAATCCAGACTCGTCCATCAGACTGCCAAGTGTGATTCGTCACTCCACAGAATATGTTTCCACTGCTCCAGAGTCCAGTGCTGACATGCTTTACACCACTCCATCTGACACTTGCGATTGTGCTTGGTGATGTAAGGCTTGCATGCTACTGCTCAGCAATGGAAACCCATGCCATGAAGCTCCTGGTGCACAGTTTACGTGCTGATGTTAATGCCAGAGGAGGTTTGGAACTCTGCAGTTGTTGGGTCAGAAGAGCGTTAGCGACTTTTATGCACTATGCGCCTCAGCACGCGGCAACCCCGCTCACACTTTTACGTGTTCTGTGGTTGCTGTGCTTTCTGAACACTTCGACTTTTCAATGATACCACTCACAGTTGATCATGAAATTTTGCGAACTGACTTGCAATGGTGGCATCCTGTTACAGTACCACACTCGGATTCAGTGAACTCTTCAGAACGACCCATTCTTTCACAAACGTTTGCAGAAGCAGACTGCAGGACTTGGTGCTTGATTTTATACACCTGTGGCAATGGAACTAAATGAAACACCTAAACCCAAGGTTAAGGCGTGTTTTTACTGTCCTATACTGCCCTTATACTGAGACAGAAATGCCTACCTCTGGCGAGCCGAGAGATCTAGCACGGCGGATTGCAGTGGGAAAAGTGCAAGTGGACGATTCTGAATAGATTCACAAATGCAGTGGGAAAAGTGCAAGTGGACGATTCTGAATAGATTCACAAATGCAGTGGGAAAAGTGCAAGTGGACAATTCTGAATAGATTCACAAATGTCAAAAATCGATTTTCTAAATTTTAATTTATAATGTAATGTTGACGGAACGCAAAAGGCGGAACTTGGAAGTGCGGAAGTGCAGCGCCCGGACGCTCTGTGACGGCACATAACAAAAACACAACTGGATGATCGAGAAATATGACTGGCACACTCTGCATTAAAAGCTAGGTTAGGTCAGGAGTCAACAATGCAAATGTTAAGAAGAGCCATTTTGTCCTTTCAACAAAAATCAAACCACCTTGGGACCCACAACATTTTATGTCCAGTATGTCTCAGTATGTGATAATGTCCTAGTATAGGCTAAAAAATATAAACGAAAACACAGACTTACTTTGCTCTGCTTTAAGTTTTAGCTATAGCCACTTTCCTCCTATCTTCACCATTTACATTTTACATTTACATTACATTTACATTACATTTAGCAGACGCTCTTATCCAGAGCGACTTACAAAAAGTGTTTTGTCTATCCAGAGAAAGAATCTTCGCTAGCTACCAATAGGTTAGAGAGAAAGCCAGTCCTAAGCTCAGATACTGCTAGAATCAGAAGGTCATTGACACCTAGAGAAAAAGGGACAGAGTTAAACACAGAACAGTGCAATACAATACATAAGTGCTGTACATTACAATCAATACTTAATTTAGTGCTCATTTAAGTGCTGAATAAACAGGTGTGTCTTCAGTCTGCGTTTTTCACCAGAAAACTTTTCCTCAAAAGTAGATCAGTTTCTTGTAAAATGTCTCTCAACGTTCGACTGTTTTACGAAGCTTAAGTCAGCTTCTTATTCACCAGCTTCTTGTTTGAATTTTCCCGTTCCACCTTAAATTTGGCCTGAGGCGCCAGAATGTAAATGCAGCACCATTTAAGGTGGAACGGGGAAATTCAAAAGAGAAGCTTCAGCTTCGCAACTTTTTAGTGCTTGACAGTCTCTCATTGCAGGTTTAACGTTCCACGAAACCAACTGCGTTGCTTATAAATGCGAATAAATCCATTCGTCTCCAAATGTTTGTCTTAAATCTCTCTCTTTGCCTATTCGTTAGCTACTAGCTAGGCGAGAGGTTGTTATGTGACCTGCAGTCTGCATGCCAGTTCTCAGTCGTTGAGAACGAGGGCTTTCGCGCTATGTTGCACACTTTGGAGTCGAGATACAGCGTCCCTTCTCGAAGATATTTTACTCTCATAGCACTCCCCCACTCTCTACAACGAGACCAAAAC